AATATTTTCTTTAACTTAATGAATTTTTATCAATTACCAATTTTTAATAAATAAATATTTCATAATAAATAAAATTGTAATTAAAACGATGTAATTGAAAATAAACAGATATACATAATTTACTCAAATGTGAGCAAAATTTCATTTTTTTGCATTAATACAAAATAATCTCTTTAATCTCTATAGATTAAAATTGAAAAAAAAAAAATCCAAAACATATTAAAAAAGAAGTAGAAAAAATATATATATATATACACATATATTAAAGAAAATTTTCTATATTTTAAACATTCTTCTCAAAAAAATTCGAAAAATGAAATCGTATATCGATTTCAATATTATACACTCGAATCGAAATATTTATTTTCGGAAATCGTGTAATCGCGATGGTACGCGCACGATGGTGCATATGCCTATAAACCGTAAAGCGGTCGCACCAAGTGCGCACACCTGCCCGTGCAATAAAGATACTTCACGTACCTCGACCTATCGTTCCTTTCCCTTGTTGCCGGCGTTACACTTCTTTCCTTTCTCGGCCCGTTTTCGGAACTGTTCAAAAGAACCCTCCAAATCGGTCGCACGACCGGTACTGACTGCGCGCAACAGCGTACGGAGAAACGGTCAACTCTCCACGAGCAACCAGAGATGATCTCATCGTTTTTCTTTCTTCCGACACCCCCGTTTGATCTTTCTGCCATATGCACCGCTTCTCTTCCCTCTGCCCGCTTTAGAAGCGAGTTTCTGCGCGATAAATTACGTAACGCAGTGCCCCATAAGTAAACCAACCGCGCCTCCAAGTTTCTTTTTCGAATTATCTTTCGAACGGGCAATACACGGCTTCAACTTTTGCCTCTTGTTTCGTCAAATTCTACACTGTCGTATATATTATTCGCAAATGAAAGATTCTAAATTTCATTTTCACGCGTCTTCGTCACTTGCGTTTATTTCATGTTATTGAAATTTATTTAATAATATGTAAAATATAATGATTTAATGTTTATATGATTATGTGGAATGCAATAGTATAAGGAAGAAAAAAATACAAATTTTTGTAAGAGTGATTTTAAATAAATTTAGATAGTGTATGTATATTTTATATATTTGTGGTTGTTAGATTATAGACTTATAGCTATAAATACTTGATAAACAATGTTTTTGATCATTTATTTACATAATTTTATTTACCAAAAATACACAATGTTCAAAATGCAAGTTGAGTTTTTACTCAGATTATATTTCATACAAAACAGTCAATTTTATTTTAAAAGAAGGAATATCTTGTTATCTTATTTTTTTCTACGCTTTTTTTTTTTGTTTTATATCGTTCCAACAATTTTTAATACAACAATACAAAACATACATTTATATAAGTTATTAATCGATTTTTGAAAATTTATTTAAAAGATGAAATCAAATTATTTAATATAATGATAAATATTAAACATTTGATTAATCATATAATAATTGAAAATAAATAATTATATCATACATAAATCGAATATTAAATTATATCCACATTTTCTATTAATTTTTTGTAAAATGAAATTTCAAATAATAATTAATTTATGGAAAAAAAGCAAATAATTTAAAAAGAAACGATTCTTACCCACATGCAAATCATATTATATGAATTACAAGTTAAAAATGTATGAGGTAGATGCATCATAATTCCATACAAAAATTAAGCTTATTGTTAGTTCAATAGTAGTTATACTATAGATCATAAAATGATCGTAGAATCGCTGAATCATGTAAGACAATATCGAAATTGTGATAATTTAACACGATGACAATAAAGTAAATAAAATGGCACAGACAAATATCCTCCAATACATTTACTTTCATACAAGTGAAATTCTCTTCGTAATGTCAATCAACCGATATGCTTGCTTTTATTTCTTATTAATTATTAATTATGTCACACAATCACTTAGTTAGTCAGAATTTCGAGATATAGATTTAATTATATATATATATATATATATATATGTATTTTTTTTTTGTTTTTGAAAAGAATAAAGTTCCTTATACATAACATAGTCATGTCATATTATGCGTAAAAATTTACTTAAAATCTATACCATAAATTTATTTCTATAATTCGAATTTTTTTTATAATACAAATCATTAGTATATTTTATAAGCAACATATAATACGAAACTGTTCGTTATTTCAATTAGTTTCTATAAAACTTTAATATGCTACTCAAAATGTTACACATACAATCAAATTATTATATTATTAAATTATTATTATTTATACGCTCACTTCTATTTAAAAAATCGATATCAATTTGGTAATATATTTTATCTGAAAAGTTAAAACTTAATGCGATATTAATCTCAACATATATTAGAAAAAGTAATTATTAGAACAGCTTTTTTTTATTTAACTCATAAATAACATATGTTTATATTTTGTTTTGTTCGGTATCATATACTATCGCAATTTCATATTCGATTAACCAGGTCATTGTTATAAAGAAAAATTTTAATACGAATAATAATAATTAAGATCTATCACATTTATATTCGTTCAAGAATGAGAGTAAATTAATTTAACTTTAATTGAAATAACAGAACTTATATCACAAGATATATAGCAAAATTTGTATGTATGTTCTTTGTAAATAAAATATTTTATATGTACATGAATTGATTAAATAATTCACCATAATGGAATTAAAATTATATTTTATGAATGTAGAACATTTTTTTCTTTTCTTTTTTTTTATTTTTTTTAATTTTTTTTTTTTTTT